GCCTTTTTACACTTCCCTGTCACAATATTTCAATCCTTTTCCCTGTCTTTCTTCTAGGTCTGTCCCAAGGGACACCCACTCCTACACTAAAACCATGCCACAGACAAGATGGAAAGTCTTTGGAAGGTACCAGAAAGCTACAAGAGTCAGCAAGCGCTCTGGCAACAGCCTTGCAATCAGAATGAATGCTGAAGATGGGAGAGTGCTCTTCTTGGGAACCTTCCCAGACCTTCAGCCTGCATGAACAAGCCAGCAATGAAGAGAGGCAGGAAGAGAGTAGGAGATGCATTACCACCTCGGCACCAGCTCCCTTAACAGATCCGTCTTTTGTCAGCTGCAGCTCCCTTTTTTAAAATTCCTCAGAACATCTTAAAGATGAGGAGGAAAAAAATAAATAAATCTGAGTGATCCCAAAGGGACAATTCCTTTACCCTCTGCCAGCAACTTATACCCCATCACCAGACAGCTGCCCTGTTCCAAAAGGGAAGCAAAGATAAGAAAAATCTGTATTGCCATCACCCCTGCCGCAGCCTCACAGATCACAGTCAGTGCACTCTGAGCCAAGCAATAAAGGAGGGGTAAATGTACCTCCCCGGTCACCTGGAAGAACATCCTCCAGAATAAGACATCAAAGAGTTGCACAGGGATAGTCATACAGTATTTCCAAGCCATGAAGTTCTCAGGCCTCACAGCAGGAAGAATCAGGAGCTGTAACCAGCAAGAAATAATCTCCCTCACCTTTTCCTCACTACATGTACACCCTGCAGTACCCTGCAATCCTCCTTACCTCCTGCTGATGTTCAGTTCCATGCCCACTGCCCTAGCAAAGGAAGCCAGGCATGGACAGACTGCAATTTTATTGAAAACAGGAGGTAAACAAAGCCTTGCAAATAACTCACCCCTCATTAAAATGCTTAGACGTGGCAGCTGGCCCGCCCTGGTGATATACAATCCCTCTGCGGTTCTTCATTTCCACTCCCCAATTTCTCAAAGACGTTCTGCCACACACATACAAGCTCTCCAACCAGAGGAGCCATCAGAAATAGACTCTGGGGTGTAAAAGTTACCACCAAAGCATAAGCTCTTTGATCTGTTGTGGAATGTGAAGAGGTGGGATGCAAAAGCTGTTATACCATCTCCTTTCCTTGAAGTCAAGGGACTCTAAAGATAAAAAAAGTCAAACCAAAATGGACAATCCCCAGAGAACAAGGTGCAGCAGAAATGGAGTAAGTTGGGGTAGTCTCTGCATACTTGGTATCTCCATCCAGATGGTGGGTGTCCTGCATCTGCCTGGGGACTTACAGAGATCCACCCTTCTGCCAAGGAGTTGAATTAGCAGGTAAAGTAGTAAAAGAACTGGCATCCCAAAGATGCCATTTCCTGCATGAGGATTGTCCTCTGCCAGGAGTGAGGAGGGTTCTAGCTCCTCGATCCACAGAAGAGGAGGATCCTGCCCTTCCCTCCTCTCTTTAGGCCTCCACTGTCCCACTGATGGCTCTGCCACCTTCCTGCTCTTCAAAGACCACAACCCTTTTCCCTCACTGCATTCATCAATGACTTTAAACCTTTCTTAAACCTTTTTTTTTTCTGGACTATAAACTACTGAAGTCAAGGCTTGCTTCCTTCCATTCACATTTAGGCTCCAGCCTTAATCCCAGCTGCAGTCTGCTTGCAGCGCAGGGAGCATCCAAATACATAGCTAGGGTTATTATGGCGGAAAGCAGGCCTATCCCACCAGGTAAAGACAATGATGGTGAAAGCTCAAAGTGCTATGAACAGAGGCACACATGCACCAAGGACTCAATTCTTCAGTGCACTGAGCTTTCTGAACCTAAGCCAAGGAAGGAATCCAACTACAGGATACTGGTGGGCTTGTACAGCCGTAACACTGCCTCTCCCTGTTCTTTTCAGCCAAGCGGATCAGTTGGAGCAGATTCAGGTACTTCTATATATGTGCTACATCTTCAACTCATGTAGAAGAGGTCCTTCCTTTGCTTCACTGGAGTCACTGGATGAAAGCTAATCATACAGCTTAAGCGCTCCGCTGAGCCAAAGGTGAAGCGTTCAGAAACTTGCTGAAGTGATACTGAGATATACAGAATTTCTGCAGGAAGGAAAGAGTTAACTTCCCTGTTATTGGACTACGAGGATGAACAAAAGGGAGCCAAATTTTCTACTCTCAACATTTTCATAGGATAGCAACCTTCCTACCATGGTTACTTATAAAGAAATGTTACAGACTGTGTTAAATTATACACTGCAGAATTTCAAAAGATAACTTACAAAATGATGATTCTTTTTTTTCCTCTTCTATAAACATTTAGAGTAATTTCTAGGGAACTTTATTTATTTCTAAGTCAATATTTAAGGATCCCATAAGGATCGTGGTATTCCCATGTGTACCTCTCACTGCTTGATTCTTATCTGTGGCAACTAAATTCATTGGATTCAAATACGATCTCAAGCCTGATACACCAAGGGGGCAGTGGGTACGAGAGGGCCTCCCTGGAGAGCTTATGGGTATGTTAGAAGCACAGAGGGCTTAAGGGCTGGTCTGAGGAGCTCGACAGCGGCACGTTATCCAGGAGGCACATCAGCTCCATTTCCATGTTCTCCCTATCTACAGTCTGAGAGGAACGAGCAACTAGGAGCACCTATAAGGCTGAGCAAAACAGCAGCTTTGTAAGTGTGCATCAGAGAGGCTCCTACTCCTTGGCTTTGACCAGGGTTCACCAGGTCTCAGGCACCTGAACAGATCTGCAATTTCCCCTCACCTCCATCAGAGACTCTCTATCTGGGCTGATTGTGACACAATACTATGAGGGCACTACAAAGGGAGCAGGAGACAACATTTCTCCCTGTTGGAAACTGGGGCGGGGGACTGCAGAAAAGGACCTCCAAAGACTCCAGCTGACAGAAGCAGCTGCAAAAACAGCCATGATAAAGGATGCTTTTGCCACTGTGGGAAGCCTCCCCAGATCTGCCTGGCCTGTGTCTGCACTGTCTGTCCAACCCCTTCCTTCCCTCCGCCTCATGGATGCTTCATCTCATCTGCATTAAACTCCAGCCTTTTTCTACCCTTCCCTTCCTATCACCATGGGCTGTTCTTAGACCAAATATTGTAAGTAATGTGTCACTAGAGTTTCTGATGCCTGAAAAAAAGTCAAAGAAAACCGCAGTGCATTGTTTTAAAGCCCTTCCATTCACAAAGTTAGCACAATTCAGTGAAGGACAACTTGAAGGTCATTAGAACAGATCCAAGAAAAAAGGCAGGGGCTCATTCAGCTGGCTGTCAAAGACTAGTGTGATCGGGCTTGCTCTTTTAGCAAGAGGCATTTCCTGCCCATAGAGGTTTAAACACACACACACATTTACAGTTTACATAAAATGATATACATCACTCTACCTTACGTTCTATTTAACAACTTTATCCCCTGCAAAACAGTTCAACGCTACAGAACAATCTACTACTTGTTCACACAGGATTTTCTGTGGATTCCACAGGATTTTCTATAGGCTTTGTAGTGAATTTATTGTCTGCAAAATGTTTTCTTTCCTCACAGAGAAGACACAGCCCTGTTAGAAGTCAAGTGATTTTCTCTTGTGCTCTCTTGCCCATCAAGCAGAACTCCTCATAAGCTGACAGCGACAATATCTGCATCTAAAAAATTAACACATTAGCTAACACATGCTGGTGTCCTCAACTAGACAAGGAAAATCTCATTTCAAACCCTGTTGAAGCAAACCCTGGGAAATAAACCCAGACGTTACCTTTGCCAGCAAAGACAGCATTGCACAAACGCTAAGCACATCAGTTAACACACACTAACTCACCTTTTCTTATTCCCCAGTGAGAGCAAGACCTAGGAGTGACAAACCAGGGCAGAAGCCTTGTGCAGTGCAGTCTTTCACTTCCCAGCTGAAACTTCTTCCAAGGACATCAAGTCTAGGGGTGAATTTATGACAGGGCACTTGTCCACTAAAACTGAACTTGTCCCCACAGCCCACCCAACCCTTGAGTCACTGTCCTGGTTTGGCTGAAACAGAACTATTTTGGCTTTCAGTAGATTTTTTTTTTCCTTCAGTTAAGTTTTTTGGTAACTGCCCTGTCTGAAGCTGACTGCAGGTTTCAGGCGGTGCCTGCTTTCAGAGCTGATGGCAGTTAATGTCTGTAGTTGTTGCTGGGGCAGGAGCAGGATTGTTATACAGAAAGGCCCACGGGTGGGTGCTTGTTCCCTGCGGGCTCTCTTGGGGTCCCCTGGGCTCCCCTTGGGGGGAAGGCGGAGGAGGGGTCGCACCCCCGGGAAGCTGCAGAGGGCACAGGTGACCCGGGACCGACCAATGCCGTATTCCATCCCACCCACGGGAATACTTGGTATAAAGCTCGGGGATCATGGGGGTCAGCTCTCTTTCCTTCATGGCCAGCATCCTGGTGGGACTCTGCTCCCTCTCCTGCCTCCAATCCTGATCCGTGCATTCCTGAAGCCAGTTCCAGTCTGCTGCGGAGTCTTTGTTGTGTGTCCGTCTGGGACGTGCCGGTGCCCGCCCTTTCCTGGTAGCACTGCGTGCCCCGCGTAGCACGCGGTCATCATTGGGAAGAGCAATACTGGGTTTGTATATTCTATTTCTATTAGTAGTAGTATTAGTTTTAATATTATTTATACTTTTTTTCACTGTTATTGTTTTATTAAAGTTTGTTTTAAGTCTCCAACCCATCAATCTCTCTCCCTTTTCTCTTCTCCTTCCCCCTGTGGGAAAGGACGGGGTTAACAGAGAGCATCTGCCACCCGCTTTAAGCGCCAGCCCAGCCTTAATCGGTGACAGTCACCAAACTGTCTTTTCTCCTCAAGGGCTTCACAGAGCTAGAGGGCTCCAGCCTCTCTGCTGCCAAGATCTCACACTAATCCTTTATGATAAATAAATGCACTTTCACTTTCAGGCCTGTTAATAAATAGGTGCATGCACACACAGATACAAACAAGGCACGTCAGTCCTCTTACCTGAGCCGTTTCTACCTTCGGGATGGTTTTGTGAAAGATATTCTCCAAAAGCCCTTGCCGCTCTGCATATCCAAGCATCACAGAAGGCAGCAAAGGAGAGAAAGACAGACATGGGTAATGGTTAAAGGCCAAGGAAAGAGGGAACAGTTCAATATCAACACACTGCTCTTTTCTTGCAGCTTCACTTCAGCTTCAGGTGACACCCATTGAAACACGCTGCAATAGCAGTGGGGGCTCCCTGTCCAACACACCTCAGTTTTCCCCAGGCCAAAGGGGAAAACAGAGTCGCGCTACAAGCCCAGGACTATTTTAGTCTTTAGCTTCTCTGTTAAAACCAAAACAAAATTGAAACACACCTGCTTTAAACTTGGCGTTGTTTCTATGATGCACATAAGAACTCGATCACCGTCTCTAACCACCCTAAGTTAAACCCCTTCTGGCAGCCCAGGGAAGAAGGTATCTCCACCCAGTCCCAACCATCACCCCAGCCTTCTACTCTGGCTCTGAATGCTCCTGCCTGTGAGCTAGCACAGCTTAGACGTTAATGCTAATACCCATTTTACCTACCTTAACCTTAAGTTCTCAGGCACCAACTATGTCAGTATTTGGATTACTGGACAACCTTATTTGAGAGACACCCACAACACCCCACCAAAGCAGTTCCTAGTTCTCTGACGGATTCAGGTCCTGTGGATGACTGAGATTTTACTGAAATATATTAAGAATCAACTAGGCAGGGTGAGCTCAACCCTTATCACACATCAAGGCCTACATAAGAGCAAACCTATGAATATTGCAACCAGCGAAAAGCTTTCTGCTTGCAACCCACACAGGAAAGGCATCCTTGGTCAAGGCATGCATTCCCTGGTACACAGTAAATACAATCTCCAGTCTCCTAGTGCCGGGCCATTTGTAACGTCCTGCTGCTCTGCTTGTTCTCCTGTATCCAACAGACCTGTGACCTGAGAACCCCAATACTAGCTTTTCCTAGCCATCCATTTTTCCCAGGTTTGTAGAACAATCTCTCCAAGGTCTGCAGCATCACAGTCAGGCTGATATTTGCCAATGGACTGTCCAGGGTGCAGGCTTGCAAACAGTGAGACGAAACAGCCACCCACCTCCTTGGCAAGCCAAGCCAACAAAACCCAGCAGCCAAGCACTCTCAGCCTGCAAGCACACCGGCATCTCTTGGGCGAGGAGATGAAGACTTGCTGCTACAGGGAAGACTTTTCATACCAAGGCATCACATCCACTGCCCTCCTCCTGCAGGGGTGCTCAGCCTCAGAACCTCCCACTCCAGCTCAAGCTGCCACAAAAGGCTACCCTCATAACAGCCATTAAACATCTAAGTGGAAAACAGCTTTGACCTCCAAAACAACCTTCCGCTTTGCTGCCCCATGCAGCAGCATATCCCAACTTGTGTAGCCAGAACTTTCCGCCACTGTTTTTATACACCTCCTCCCAAAGGGGAAAAGATTAACAAAGCTACAATGTACCTCCCAGAGCGAGTAGAGCTGGAAGGAGTACGAAGTCCATTTGTCATCCACAGCCAGCAACAGGGGATCAATATGAACAATGAAGAAACAGTAATTTAATCTCCCTGGAACTAAATTTCAGGGCAGACAAATGCAAAATGCTTTGGAGCAGCGCAGCTGGAGCTGTGCACGAAGCAAGGTTTAACCTTCTGCGTCATTACAGGCTAACATACCGCGCTGAGGTTTTTTTTCTGTTTCCAGATTCTTGCCTGTCTAGTACCAGGCTGTACCTTTAGACACTACCATGGGGTGGCAGTTGCCCAAATTGTCTTTCTCAATGCGTAAGCAGCCCCAGAGATGGTCACGCAGAGGCTCTGTCACATGGGGGGAGCTGTACAATTAGCAAGCAATCCCCACTACGAAGAACAAGGGGATGACCATCATGGTTCACCCATACAGGAGGACAAGCACCTCATGGATGTTCCTTGCACCACCTTTCTGTCTGGGCAGGACTTGGTCCTGGGATAACACACAAATGTCAAGTTGGGAGCTGGAGTGTGGCAACTTCAGGGAAGTGGTGGAGTCACCATCCCTGGAAGTATTTAAAAGACGTGTAGATGTGGCGGTTAGGAACATGATTTAGTGGTGGACGTGGCACTGCTGGGTTTACGGTTGGACTCAATGACCTTAAGGGTCTTTTCCAACTTAAGTAATTCTATCATTCTAACATCAGGCTATGCAGCTGCAAGAGCACTCCTGAGCTACTCCTGCACTCCATCTTAGAGATGGTTAAGGCTCAGCCAAAGCCACAGCTGATCTCATGTAGCACTGGCAATAGCCCTGCTTCGAGCAGATGGCTGGGCTTGAGATTTCCAAGATCTCTTCCACCAAGACTTCTGGGACTCCAGGGCTTCCCATGGACACGTCTACCCTGGCAAGGCATCAACACCATTCACAAACAGGGCACTTACACCCTTGGGAAAGACTTCAAAGCTTCTCTTGGGCATCAGCAGTCATTCCATGTACAGCAAGTTCTCAGGTAAATTACCAGTGATGGAACATGGTGATTTACACAAAAAAAATGCTGAAATATGATGATAAAATTTAGTCTAGTTCAAAAGCTCCAAAAGCATGTTAATTCGTCTGTCATTCTCTCCATTCATCCCTCTGCCAATGCCCAAAGCTGAGCTGTCTGCCTTAAAATCTGAACCAATGCTTCACCCTCAGCTTGCAAACTACAGGCTCAGAAAACTAGTACCAAGCACTTCCCCAGAGCCAAATTGCAAATGGCTAACACGGAGCCAGAGAGAAGCACTGCCACCCTCCATCCCACCCTGTTCCACAGTGAAAATAGCATCTCTCCGAATAAGAGCCAGAGCTTAACGGCGTTGCAGTGTCTCCAACCTCACTCTCCTGTCTCCCCAAGCAGATGAGGTAGGAGGGTAAAATCCCAAGTGCCAGAGCTCCTGGAGAATAGGCGACACCCAGACCTCTTCTTGCAGGTCAGAATCACAGTCGAGGAGCACAGAGCTCCTCAAAAACGTTGCTGCTCAGCCCAGCCTGAACCTGCAGTTCTGTCACTACCGTTCCACTTTCACTGCTCTCAGATGCTGCAGGCCAACCTAAGAGCAAACGAATGCAGACACTTGATCACAGCTATCTAGCAACAGCTAATGAGGCAATGACGCCTGCACAGTACAATGTGCAACGGGGGTTTTCCAGCCAATTACACTACAAATTTCAGACTAATTTTTTTTTGCCTATTATCTCAGTGGTTCCCTTCCGCAGTCCTGCTTCCTGAGTGCCACCGGCTTCTCCTTGGCTGTGCCTCAGCAGAACTCCCACAGATGTCTGCATGTGCCCTTTGCCAAGGGGACTGTGCTGGCCATGCTAGCTCCTTATGCCTAGTCTCCCCTTGCCAAGCCTTTTGTGTTCCTTCTCTGCTCTCACTGTGCCCACAGTCACCCAAGTTTACCAGCATCTCCCCATATCATTAACGTGCCATTTACTCCCTTTCCTTGGCTAGCCACTGACTTGATCAAAATAAAGTCAGAGCAAAATGCAACCAGATGGTAGCTGCTCTGTTCATCCCATTCTTTTCTATTTCTTTTATCAACACACTGTATTAATACAAGTCACACAATCGTACTTTTCTCTGAGCTCAGTTTTGCCTCCACTATCACAGCCAATGTAGTTCAAAGTCTCATCAAGCCACCTGATGACACTGGACAGAAAACCTTTCAACTGGGCTCAGAGCAGAGACACCTCAGGATAATTTAACTGGCAAGAAATAAAGAAGAAAACTTGTTTCACGTAAATGAGATGAAGTACAAGGTGCCTTACAGACACATGGGCTGATGAGCTATAACCCTGAGTGTATGACACTGCAAAACCTCCATACAAATGAGCAGGTAGTACCGAGAGGTAATCAGCTGATGACATGACAAGTTTAGCCCTGACTCATCTAGACAGAGGTTTTCATTTTAGTGGCAGATCAGATGTTACACCATCAGCACAGCTTGATTTAACAAAAGGTCATCAACCAGGGACCATAGCCTTAGTACGCTGTGCTACTAAGTCTAACCAGTAAAGACAAGACTGCCATTGCCTCAGAGAAGACACCATCATCTTCTCCAGCTTCTTCTCCATCAGAATGACTTCAAGAGTGTGGAGGGTGGGATGGGGTAGCACAACACAGGCAGCAAAGGCAGCTGTCCTTCTGAGGGCATTTTTCAGTACTCACTGTGCATTGGATGTCAAAGCTGGACTCAAGTCTGGAAGAGAAACTGAGATTTTGGAAAGAAGCATAGACGATCTAGACATACATTTGCTAGAAGGAGGAAAGCTGCCAAATAACAAAGATCTCAATTACAACATGACAAGCATGGAATAGCCTTCAAGTCTCTGAAATAATCACATCAACAGGATAAAAGGGGCCTTGATGCATACTAGCAGCTATGAGAAATTGATGCACAGAAATTTATGCAATACACAAACTGACATTGAACTGAATGAAGAAATGGGTATTGGAACACTCAGAGATACACGAAAGACCTGAGATAGCTTGCAGCTATGCTCTAAATGGAGTTAAGCCAAACCTGGACTATTCCAGAGTATTACATGGAAAAATAAAGAACACCCACCACCTTCTTGTGCTCCTTCAGAAGTAATGCCCAGAGGAGTTGCAGCAGGAACCTGTTGTCACAGCATCTGACAGTGCTGTATCTCAGGAAAACAGGAGAGAAGGGACCTTCTGCATCATCAGGACCTATGTCCTCCTCCAGCTCCAATCCTGCTCTTGTCACTAAGCAGAGAGGGGAACACTGCCAGCAAATTCGTAGTTAACAGTTCAGTCATTAAAGACTGTTGACACCTACATCGTTTAAACCTAATCGTAACAATAGCCTGACAAAAATTAGTTTTCTGAAATATCTACATAAGGAGATGGTAGCTGGAAAATTTTAATCTTAAATTTAAATTCTCACTCTCAAGAAAGGGAAATCAGATGTCAGCAACAGATCTTAAAGACAAAGACCCCACAGTCTTGGAGGAATTTATAGTCACAAAGCTTGGACAGGAGGAAAGAGGACAGAGCAGGAAGAAGTTAAAAGAACAAGGTAATCAAAGCATGAGAGAG